TTGTGCTGAATTTAAGTTATGCTCACTTTAATGGCATAAAAATATTTTTTTTTTATGTGTATAACACATTATTTGCCTAATAATAATAATAATAATAATAATAATAACAACAACATATTAGGAAAAATGCTAAATAAAAAAATATATAAAGTATACATTATGATAAAAAAATAAATAAATAAATAACTAAAAGACTTTCCAGTCAGTGAATCTGTACAGGTCATTTTCAAAAAAACAGAAGAAAAAAAATGTCCTTTACTTTTAAAGATCCTTTCTACCCATAATGCTTGTCATGTCACCTGAATGCCTCCATCATAAATCCTAAGTTAATTGGTCTTAATGGCTCCACCTCTATTACCCTCACTGCTGCTCCTGATTAACCTTGATAATAAATGAGAAGCACCTCTTCATATCTGACTGATCTTAGATTGTACTGGAAGTTCATGCACATTTATCTCAATAAACTGCTTGTGATACCAGGTTTTATCATGCTAGGAATCACAGGACGGATGGATTATATTTGTGATGTGATCTGACAGCACTGCATCCAGACATATTCAGTTCCCATTCTCTTCAGCATGAACACATGCTTATTAAACCCAATTCAACTTTAACTAATTTTGCTCAATAACTTTGTCCTTTGTAAGATTTAGGCCCCTTTAGATAGTGAAAGTCTCTTGGCAGGAACTCAGTTTGATCGTATCTGGGACAGTATCGCTCTCCATCTCCACACATCAGTCTTATCTTCCTGTATTTTTAACTTTCCAAACTTTAACTAGGCTACAAAATGAAGCTGCAGATCATTAACAGCAGCCAAATAACCATCTCGGCTTTCTTTTGAATCAGGAATATTTACTTATACAGATATAATTCTGTACCTGCAGGTTCATTTTTACTGTAGGCTAAAACACGGCATAAGAGAAACCTTCTGGTAATGTAGGGTCCTAGAAAATCATTTTCCTAAATTTCTATTTTTTTATTGTTTTCTGGTAGCTCTGGCAGTTATATGAAGGCATGAAATATTAATAATTTAACTGATATTTTTTTTTATTTAAGGAAATAAAAATGAAAAGAGGTTTACGGTTACAAAAAAATCAATATGAAATTGGCAATTATGCAATATTACTTAAAGTGCTTTAGTCATTTTATTATTACTTTGATAAGTGCATTCTACTGTACAATAGTAATATATTTCTGTCACAATTTCTTCA